GCCGAGAATGAGAGCGCCCTTGAATGAGCTCGCCTCGGTGCTACTCTGCAGCTCATTCTCGCAGTGCTGCTGCAGTGGAACCATTGGAGTTATTTCTGCAGTACCCACTTTGCATCGTTCAGCTGAAGCATTGTAGGGTGTGTCTCGACAGAGTGTCTCACCCAAAGCAAGCAGTGCTCGTATTCGATATTGGGCAGTGTCTGCAGATGACAAACAAACAGAAAATGGTTACAAACCAGTTGGAGGGAAAAAATCATCTTACCGTGCAAGTCTTTCTGCGGACAGACGTTGCAGGAGCTCTTCTGCAGGCAGTTCAGCGCCTCGTACATTGCACAGCAGCTCGCCTGAGTGGCAGTGGCCGAGTTCAGCGAGTCCAGGTTCCATTTGAGTTGCGCCGCCTTGACGCACATCCCAGTGATGCTGCCAGCGTTCAGTGCTTCGATGCAGTCATTTCCCAGGTCATCGGTGCCATGGACGCTGATAATAGAGAGGATAAAAACGGACAGTAGAATGAATAACATTTTGGCTGATGTGTTTTTTCTGAGTCAACCAGCGTTTTCGAGTGATTTGGAACAGAATATTGCTGGATTTTGAAAAAAGTGGAAACGTACTTTTCGAACTACCCCTGATTTTTTCAGAATATTTTTTCTGCTGTTGTTGTTTTGAGGTCAGCTGATTTCCAGCTTTGATTTCTCTCGTTCAATTTCTTCAATCTCGGTCTTCTTCAAGCCACGCAATGAACAGAAAATCTGTCATTCGACGATTCAAAGTGCCCCTTGATACTTACCGTGAATCAGATCTCAACATGACCCAAGACACGCAGCAGTTTTCCCGCGAAGAGGACATGGAAGAAAAGTCGCACCTCGATCTGCTGGACATGACTCAACCGGCCACTGTCAACAGTGGCGGCTCAGACAAAGAAAATAAGAGCAACTCACAGTTGCAGAGCCAACAAGATGCTATCAATCGATCTGCTCGTGAATTTGAAGAGGCCAAGATGCAGGCAAAAGCATTGAAGATCAAATTCGACAAATACAAGCAGATTCGTGAGGCTAAAATTAAACAGCTCCGAGAGCTAAACGCCAATCTAAAGAAAATGTCTCTCATGAATGCTGTGGATAAGAAGAAATTCATTCAAGCCAAGTGATTTTTATGAAAAACAGTTTCAGTTTATCTCATTTTCATAATAATTTTTCACAACACTCGTAAGTTTTCTACAAATCCTCTATCCCTCTTATTTACAGCAAAGCTAACAAAGAACCGAAACAACATCCATTTTCAATAAAAAAATGTATTTTTTTGTTACAACTAGCTCAACTAACTTCAAGTGTGTTTGGCTGCTAAAAGGTAGGCAGGGTGCTAAAACTTTTTTGCTAGCAACTGAGCAAACAATGATCAGGGTTTCAAGCCATGATTTTCCTTGCCTCTTTCAAAAAATGGCGTGTCACCTTGAAAACAACGAGTACATTTTGCATTAGCTACATTTAATTAGCCTAATTTTAGCCTTCTTGAGAGCGGGTAACAGCAAAAATAACCCAAGTTCATAACCCATTTTCACTCCCATTCTCAGGTGGTAAATCTCTACTACCACCAGCAACAGCAACATATTCTTTTAGGTCAATTCGTCAACAACGCATTAGCCAAATCGATTTTTACCATTTTTTTTGGCTACTCAGTCAGTTGCGTTGCAACCTAAAGCCAATAAAGCGTGATATTGTTTCCACTTCACTGGCCGCTGGTTTTTTGGCGTCGGAATAAAAAACGCTTGGCCACAACAAAAACTGCCCTCTTCAATTGTATTGGTATTGTTATTGCCTGCTGTAACAAAGCCGTCCGGCCATATTTGACCAGCTTGGTAAAAGTGCAAGTAAAAGAGTGTAATTCATTCCTGGCCGCTTATATAAAAGGGCGCGCTTTCTGTCAATCATTCATTCTTGTCGAACAAACAATGTTCAAGTTCAAGTTGGGCTAAAAGTTGGCCAAGTGAAGAAGAAGAAGAAGAAAAAGAAGAGGAAAATGTCCCTTTCAACGACCACCACACCAACTGTTCTCCTTCTGAACTCCATCAGCTACTCGTGGAAGCGAAACTCCGAGTGTGGTCCCATTCTCTCGGACATCAACCTCTCAGTTCAGCAGGGAGAAATCTTTGGCCTCCTCGGTGCTTCAGGCAGGTTTTTAGACTGTCGTACATTTCATCTGCTAAAAACTCTTTTTTTCTGAAGGAAGTGGCAAGACCACCCTCGTTCGGCTGATACTGGGTCGACTTTTTCCCAGCTCCGGAATCATTAGTTTGCTGGGCAATCGAGTCGATGGCCCGCGTAATCCGCCCAGGCCCTCAGATATTGGCTACATGCCTCAGGTAGTGGATAAGGAATGTGATATTTTTTCAAAACCCAATCTTCTTTTACTTTCAGGACCTAGTGCTCTACCAGCAGTTCACGCCCGTGGAGATGCTGCGCTACTTTGGCCAGCTGTACAAACTGTCCGGCGGTGAGATTGAGAAGCGAATCGACTTTGTCCTTCGACTGCTCAGTCTGAAGCAGTTTCTGCAGGTGGAGAGCAAGCTGACTCAAGGTTTGGGATTGCTAGAGATTACCAAGAAAAACAATGTGAAAAATATTTGTTTCTTCTTCCCTAACCAGAGTACACCATGCAAATCACTCAACTCTCCGGTGGTCAGAAGCGCCGAATATCATTGGCCATTGCACTCCTCCACCGACCTCGTTTTCTCATCCTCGACGAGGTAAGCTGTAAAAACTGTATCATCAATTGAACCCCTTTTTACGTTAGCCCACAGTGGGCTGCGACCCACTGCTTCGCGAGACCATTTGGATGCACCTGAAGCAGCTGACCACCGCGACGATGGTCACTGTCTTTCTCACCACCCACTACATCGAGGAGGCCCGAGACGCCCAGTCGATTGGCTTTCTGCGCAATGGCCGCCTGCTGGTGCAGGACTCGCCGCAGAGCCTTCTGGACCGGTTCGCCACCACCAGCATGGAGAAGGTCTTTCTGCAGCTGTGCAGGAAGGCCAATGCAGAGCAGAATCATCATCACGGAGATCATGATCGACTCAGTCCCACCGATGCGAAGGAGGGCTTTTCTTTTGATGGAACAGTGAAGGTGGAGAACATGCTCGAGGGGGTTAACTTGAAGAATAAACTGGTAAGGTGGTTTTTGGTAAAGTGTGTTGTCAAAACAACAACAGCATTTTCTTTTTCAGGAACTGCTTCCACCGCTGGACATTCGCACCTCCTCGCAGATTCTCTCTCCCCTTTCACTGCTGACAGCTAACAAGAAGAAGGTCTCTCCGAATGGAAACAAACCAACCGATGAGTCTTCTTTGCCTAAAAAGAGGAGCTCAGTGGCGAGCAAGTTCTCTTCCTGTTTCACCTTCAACCACGTCCTTCGGCACAGCGAGGACCCCTTCACCTACACGGGCACGCCCGCCCGAGAGCACTTCATCTGCTGGGCGCACCTCCTCACGCTGATGGGCAAAAACTTTCGCCAGCTGCGACGCAACTCCTCACTGCTCATCTTCTTCATCCTCCTGCCCGCCATTGAGATTGCCCTCATCATGCTGTGCATTGGAAGAGAGATTGAGAACATTCCCATTGCGGTCTTCAACGGTGAGACGACGCCCGACCTCAGTCTGATCTTTCTGCAGTCCATTCCGGACGGGGCCTTTCTTCAGCAGAACTACGCCACGCCGGAAGCCGCTCTAGAGGCGGTGAGCGACAGTCGCGCCCACGCCCTCCTTCAGTTTAGCCCCAACTTTTCGCACGCCCTACGGGCTCGTTTTTTCAGNCGCCACGCCGGAAGCCGCTCTGGAGGCGGTGAGCGACAGTCGCGCCCACGCCCTTCTTCAGTTTAGCCCCAACTTTTCGCACGCCCTACGGGCTCGTTTTTTCAGCTTTGCCTTTGATGAGGCGGAGGCCATCAGCGGGAACAACAACAACGGCACCGACAACAACGGCTCCTCATCTCTGAACGGCACCTCCATCTACGACGAGAGTTCCGTCTTTGTGCGGCTGGACATGAGCAATCAGCTGATTGGGCTGCAGGTGCAGCGACAGCTGCTGAAGGCTTTCCTTAACTTTGCCCAGCGACTCGCCTCGAATCTCGGCCTGAGCAATCAGACCTTCAAGCCGCCGCTCAACTTTGGCGAGCCAGTGTACGGCATTCAGGGAGGGGCGAGCGCCGTCGTGGAGACCTTCATTGCGCCAGGGGCGCTAATCATGATCGCCTTCTTCGCCACCACCATCGTCACCTGTCACCTGTTGATTCACGAGGTAAGGCAGGCGCTGATTGAGNCCTTCTTCGCCACCACTATCGTCACCTGTCACCTGTTGATTCACGAGGTGAGGCAGGCGCTGATTGAGCGGGCGCTCATTGCGGGCGCCAGCTCGGCGGAGTTTCTCTTCTCGCACATCGTCATCCAGAGCTCCATTCTGATGATCCAGCTGACGCTGATGCTGCTGACCGCCTTCAAGCTTTTCGCCATGCCCTACCTCGGCTCACTGGTCCTTTCCATGTCGCTTGTGACGCTGCAAGGTCTCTGCGGCCTCATGTACGGGCTGATGCTCTCCGCCACCTGTCCGGATGAGATCTACGCGACCACGCTGGCCATCGGCACCTTCTTCCCTTCAGTGATCATCGGGGGCATCTTCTGGCCGGTGCAGAGCATGCCCATGGCGCTGCAGTACCTCAGTCATGCGCTGCCCTCCACGGTGAGCATCGACGCGCTGCGATCCATTTTGCTGCGCAACTGGGGCCTGCGATCGGCGAATGTTGCGGGCGCCTTTGCCGTCACCGCCTTCTGGTTGGCCGTCTTTCTCATTTGTGCGCTGAGGAACTTTAAGCGGAGGATATAGGGTGAATGAATGCCCGAATAGTGTCGTAGTGCTGTAAAATGTAATGATGACGTTTATTAAATTAAAAGATTAGAGAACAGAAAGAAAGTAATGGGAAAACCGTTTTCACTTGAAGCAAAAGACTGCCTAGCGACACCTCTTCCAGGCGCGGTTCCTGCCCTCGATGGGCAGCGGGTTGCCGGCCACGTTGAAGACCCACTCATCGAGTGGGAGCAGCTGGTCGCTGGAGAAGATCAGGTAGAGGTACTCGAGGGTGGCGCCGATGAAGTAGCTGGGCTGGTAGTCTCGCTTGATGATCGTCTCGTCGTTGACGCGGTAGATCTGCGAGTAGCCGCCGTTGTCGTTGCGACAGTGCTTGTAGATGGCCTGCGCCAGCTCCCAGGCGTAGTCCCGGTAGCGCTGGTCGCCGGTGAAGCGGTACAGGACAAAGTAGCTCTCGAGAATGTTCGGCATGAGAAAGTGGTTGCCGTCGCCGGTGAGCATCGCCGAGGGCTTCGTCGCCGTCGAGTTGATGAGGAAGACGGAGGTGGTCAGGCCGAGGCGGCTGCTATTGGTCGCCAGGTGACACGTTTCGGTGATCTGCCGGGCCAGACGGCGGTGGGAGGCGATTTGCGCTGAAGAAAGAAAGGAGAGGTGTTATTGTTTATGCAAATTAGCAGGTCTTTGTTTACCTTTCCAGGCGCTGGCATTGCCGCCGGTCGCCTCCAGCGACTTCACCACCTTCTCCATGGCTGCCGCCCCATAGGAGAGAAAGGCGCCAAAGCCACAGCTAATTTGGTTCATCTTCCCCGGGGCGTCCAGGATGAAGGTCAGATTTGACTTGGAGGTGACAATCTTCCCGTCCGCTTTCATATTTTCCAGCGTCTCATTGTACAGGCGTAGGCCCTCGCCGTCGGAGCGGTCCAGCTGAGTGTAGGCGCGCACTAAAAGTGGACACAAGTTTTTTTATAAAGAAAAAGAGATTTTCCTTTTCACACATACCGTCCAGCATGAGCCAAGTTGAACGTGAGTAGTTAACTATCTGCCCGTTTCCAAAGCGAAAGTACTCGTCAATTGCTTGAATGGGCTGCCAGTACCTCTCCGGACTTTCGGTGATGTCGCCCAGGTAGCGAAAGCCAAGTCGCTGTCGTAGAAACTCGGACAGGCGACTCACCTTGTGGAAGCCGCTGGCCTCTTTGGCCGCCTTTAGGGCTGCAGAAAAAATGAGTTTACTGAAAGGTAAACTAACACTTTGCTGACACCCACTTACCAGTGGCATTGTACTGTCCATGTAAGTAGTCGGCCACCTGTTTCGCCCTCTGCTTGAACATCTCATCGCCAGTGAGCGAGTAGGCGGAGATGAGCGAACCGATGTTCTCCAACTTCACCCTTGTAATGTTCATCTCTTCGTCAATCCACTTGCGCGCCCGGCCGTACTCCTCCTGCAAGCCCATCAGCCACAACGTGGTAATCGACTGGATGATGGTCTCGCCATTTGCCGGCAGGCGGTTGTTCTTGTCACTGTTCTGTGACAACGGCTGCAGCGCCTCCTGGCCCCAGGCGTGCCTCACGTAGGCGCCCCACGCCTCCCGGGTGATGTTCACGATGAACTGGCGGCGAGTTTCAGTCTCACTGAGGCTGTTGTTGGAGGAGTTAGTGGAGTTGGGTTGATGAAGTAGTGTTGAGTTGACAGGGGCAAAGTTGGTGCACACCAGTCTAGTCCTGTTGATGTTGCTGTTGTTGTTGTTGTTGTTGTCCAGCGGTGAACATTGAGCGAGGACAATGAAGAGAGAACAAAGAAGAAGTGGGCACTTGCTATACATGGTGCCTAGGAGTTGAAGTGAAGATTCTGCAGCAGAGACAGAGAAAGGGTTCAGTCATGATGAGGGGATGATATCCTTAGGACATGTTGGAAGTGGTGATAGTGGTGGTAGTGGTGGTGATTATCAATGGCGCAGTGAAGTGCTGAGATCGAGGCAAAAGCGTTGTGTACTGCTTTTTCAGGTCGTTTCGGGTGGTTATCAAGCCAGCCAGTCAGCGAGGAGCTTGAAGGAAGAGCAGTGAGCTTGCACATTGAGGTTGCACTTTTGTTGCCAGATAATTGGACACACACACACTCTTAAACAGGCTGAAGTAATGTTTGGTGTCGATGAAATTTAAGGAGGAAACTCACTATCATGGACACTGAGACGAGTGACGGTGATTAGATGCAAGCGGGGAGATACAGACAGAGTGGCGGTGGTGATGGATGAGTGTCTCTCTTTGTTTGGGTATTTCCATCTGAAGGTTAACAGTTTTTGCAGTACAGTCCTTCTCCTTCTTTGCATGTCTAAGATGTGTGACAGCTGTTGCAAGGGCTTCTTCTTCTTCTTCAGTCACCGGTAATGGGCGGGTAGTAGCTGACAACGGGCAAACATTAGTTTAGGAAAACAAATTACAAATGTTAGTTTTTATTAAAAACTGGCAACTTTTTTGCTTTGTTTTGTTCTTCACGTAAAATATTTTTGTTATTTTGTTGCCATTTTGAGGAAAAGCGGGGTTGTTTATTTCGCAATAAAAGTTGCAATTTATTGTTCAGTTGAAAGCATATAAATGTTTTTTGTATGAAAATTAATGGTCTTTTTAAAAATAGGACTGAATTTAAAATTCCCTCAAATATTCAGTAAGAAACTGTTTCCTAGCGAACCAAGTTTGCCAAAGTTGCAGTATTTGGTTATGATAAAAGAGTTTAAAGTCAAAATGATAAGATACTTGTCAGCTTTATTTCCTCGTCACTGGCGCCCATTGACCTTTTACTTGCTCACTGTTGATACTGTGCAAAGACGAAGCTACTTTCTTTACTACGGTTTACATCTTGCGGCGCGCTTTCTTCTGTTTGGGCTACTTTGCAAGCTGAACCACTTCACCTTTGATCTCACCATGATGCTCTTCAATGACAACCCCAAAGTGTTCGGTAACGCCTACATCTTTGCATCCATTGAGGTACTTTGTCCGCTTTACTTTTACTACCTCCTGTACATTAGTCCAAACGGTCGCATCAATATGCTATTGAGTTATGTTTTGATTGAAAGAAAGAAGTATTTCTATGACCTGAATCCGGACTTTAAGTTTTTTTGCCACAATCGAATCAATAAGCTGAGTAACTTTCTGCAAGAACGCAAAAGGATTTACAGCAAAATACAGCACACTTCAGACAGTGCCATAGAACTTCCTGGGTGGAAAATATCGCAAATCTTCCCACCGGTGAGCAATAGCCTACAAATGAGAGTAATATTCTTCAATCTGATCATTGAGAAGATCCACTACGCAATAGTCGCCTTTTTGTTCTGCTCCTTTGCCTGTGGAGCGGTGTACTACTTCTTCAAGTTAGTCGGCTCTCTAAATCTAATCCTAGTCCTGGTGATTGTCCTTGACCTGGCGTCCATCTTTCACTTTGCCATCTCCGGTATGATCTACTGTCTGTACACCACGTACATGGCCAACATCTTTCTCATTGGCGGGTACTTTACGGGTGAAAACCAACGCCTGTTAGCGCTGAATGAAGGACATACCTCGCCGACTGAGGCTCGGATTGCCCTGCTGCAGATATCACTGACGAGCTTTTCCAGTAATTACATGAAAGTCGCCAAACTGGTGCAATACGTCTTCCGCAGCTTCGGCTCAAAGGCACTTTTCGGCTTCTTCCTCAGCAATATATTTTTTAATGTGTACCTCTTCTCCATTCTGGCCTTCAACGGGCGGCAGCTGTCGGCGGTCAACCGCCTCATCTACGTCGTCTTCATGTCCATTCAGTTCGGCGGACCGCTCCTTTCCATTGTGCCGCTGTCGGCGATCAGCAGATCACTGCACGCCTCAGGGGGACGCCTCTTTCCTCTGATGGGCGAGCTGTCGTCAGTATCATCACTTCTGGCGAAGATTAGAGTGCTGCGAGTGTACGAGATCACCTGCAGCGACTGGAAGATGGCCTGTCCGATTGGCCCGCTCGGAGTGGTGACCAGCTACTCCGTCTTTAAGGTTGGTGAATGTGGCAGAATGTTTTTCTATCAGTTGTTGACTTTACACTTTACACTTCTTACCGATAAGTTTGCCTTTATCTACTTCGGCTACATCATGTACACCGTTTCGTTTATCACCAAATTGTAAAGAGAGAGTTTTCGCATCAACAGCAAAAAAAGTGAAAGCTTTGGCGCGCTCACCGCATTCGCCGACGGTTCATGCGCAGATCGGCTCGCCTGCTCAATGTTTTTCCACTTTGTGCACTTCACTACCGTCAAATCTGACAGTTTTTGCCAGTGGACTTTTAAGTTTCACATCAGCGGAAACTGAAAGTACCAAAGATGCACTTTAACTCCCTTTCAGACGACGACCAGACGGAAGTCTTCTCCNCATTCGCCGACGGTTCATGCGCAGATCGGCTCGGCTGCTCAATGTTTTTTCCACTTTCATTTGTGCACTTCACTACCGTCAAATCTGTCAGTTTTTGGCAGTGGACTTTTAAGTTTCACACCAGCGGAAACTGAAAGTACCGAAGATGCACTTTAACTCTCTTTCAGATGACGACCAGACGGAAGTCTTCTCCCGCCTGCCTGTGGAGGCACTTCTCGGCATCAGCAACATCTGCCGCAAATGGACGGTGCCCTTGCAGCAGGCCTGTCGGGGGGTGACCAGGTTCTCCCTTCTTGGCAATTCAAGGGTAAGTTTGTTGTTGGGGATGATGATGATGATGATTGCCATTAATACCAAACTAATCTTTCCCTTACAGATGTACGTCAGCAGCAGCACCAGAGGGCCAAACCGAATACTGCAAGAGGCGTTCCAAGAATACGGCATACCCACGCTGCCGTCCTTCTATCATGTTAATTTGCGCAGTGGCACCTTCACCGAGGAAATGGTGCACTTTTTCCTGGCGACCTTTCCCAATATTGAGCACCTCGAACTGGTTCAGATTGCGCCGGACAAAAATTTTGACTCCTGTGTACAGTTTATTGCTGGTCTGTCGAGAACCTTAAAATCACTGTCCATCTTTCACGAGAAAGACCACGAACTGGTCTACTGGGAAGACGCGGCCAAGCCATACTCAATTGGAAGACATTCCCGAACGTGGGCAAAGGATCATTTAGATAATTTGCTAACAGCGCCACGGCGCCTTCTATCAAACATATCTCAAATTAACTATCCAAAACTGAATCACGTTGCGGTGATTGACTTCACCATGTACTCCAAACCGACTCCTTTAATTGACAACCCTCCAAATCTAAGCCATCTAGAATCACTCTACTACATTCAGCCATATGATCAAACCCTTTTCACACAAACGCTCGCAATTCAAAAACCGTGGAAAAACTTGAAAAATCTTGCTTTGCGGTCAAGTGTTTTTATTTTGCAAAATCATCTGGATAGAAATTGTGAATATAGGGCTTTCCAAGAGACGTTAGCTAACCTGAGAAGACTTACCATTAGTGGCATTTTCCCAACCATTTTGACTCATTTAAATGTGTGCACTACTAATCTAGTTTACCTTCACATCCACGACCTGAATCTCACTTTTATCCGACTGCTTCCAATGCTCACCGATCTCAAAGCACTACATACGTTACGAATTTACTTTGACGGCGCCGTCGTCACCAATAATTTTACCTACTCAACCGTTCCTAAACCGGCCGTCGCTCAGTTGCCTTCCATCGAGGTTCTCCAGCTGAAAAACACCGAAATCATTCACCAACCTCTCGGTGCTGCCGCTGTCCTCCCCGCCGCTTTGCCCAACCTGCGTACACTGATTCTCGAGCAGGACTCAATTGGAACCCGGCAGCTGAGGAATCAGTGTCAGCACTGCCAACATGTTCTCCACCGGGTGGCCCAGTTCTGCAAGAATCGCTTCATTCGCCTACTTTCCCGTCACAAGCGAGGCGAGGCACGGTTTAATCACCTAGAGTGCGTAAAGATAAACTGCATCAATGATCAGCGACACGAGCAGGAGACCGAGTGGTACCCTGAATGGCGGGAGTGGTTCGAAGTGTGGAGTTTCTCTAAGGAAATTTGGGAAATGGAGCAGGTTCCATTTTAAATTCTGTTTTTAGCTACTGTTGTTTGTTTGACCAGAAAAAACTCTGTAATATACTACTACTGCTGTGTTCCGAAAATACACTTTGTTGTGCTTTCAAACTGCAAACTGAGCTAAAAACTGTTTTTTGTTATTTTGTAAGTGTTCAGAGGTTCACTCGTCTCCGTCCGTTTGCTCACCTGTCTCCACAATTGCGAAGCCTACCTGGCAATTACTGTGACTACAGGCAGGCAGGCCTAGCCAGTGGACTGCAGCAGTGTGGACACCTGTGAGCCTGTGCAGGCACACTATCACTGGCCAGTTTGGCTCACCTTGATTCTGTGGGGGGGGGCAATGTTCACTCTGTCCCTCTCTCACTCTGCTCTGTCTCCACTCGTCAAACTGACCACTGGCCACCAACATTCCTCACACACACACTGGGCACTCTCTTCTCTTCTCTTGGCGCTCAAAGTTTCGGTAAGTGACTGTACTTGTAATGGCGAATTCTCTGTATTTCTAAAACCGCCGTTTTTAATATTTTTGCAGGAACATCTCTTACTACCACCACCACCCCAATCATGCACATCAACCACCTTTCGAATGAGCTCCTGTTGACCGTTTTCTCCCACCTCGACCTCGCCAGTCTGCTTCCCCTGGAGCTGGTCTGTCGTCGGTGGCGCCTTCTCCAGGAGTGCTCCCTCTGTCAGGTGCAGACGCTGGTGCTACTTGGACCGACAAATGGTAAAACGCACAACAGCACACCACTGCAGCTCATTCAAAAGTCAGCCCAGCGGTACTCGGTGTCAGTGTCGAAGGCTCGCTANGTGCTACTTGGACCGACAATTGGTAAAACGCACAACAGCACACCACTGCAACTGATTCAAAAGTCAGCCCAGCGGTACTCGGTGTCAGTGTCGAAGGCTCGCTACCACGTCCGCCTCTCCGCCAAAGGACTTACATTGGCCAGCTGTGAGCTGCTTCTCCGCAAACTGCCCAACATCAGCCGTCTAGAGCTGGTGCAGGTCTCCCTCAGCCGATCAGTCGACCTGGTCGTCTACCTGCTCAACGGTTGGAGCCTGCACACGATTAAAGTGCTGCACGACGAGAAGATTCACTTTGCCACTTGGAACACCAAAACGAGTACAGCGGCAACAAATGGTGGTCGAAATGGTCAGCCCAAAGTGCTGCGGAAGAAGTACCAGCAGCAGCAAAAAAGTGGCGTCAAGTAAGAAAGGAAAATTGATCGATCTTGTTGCTCATAAATAGTTTCCTTTCCTCCTGCAAATAGATTCCCCGGCTGCCTGCACACCCTCCTCCACTACCTGACCGCCTGTTGGCAGCCCAGTCTGCGCCACCTGACCCTGGTCACCTTCGACTCTCTCAGCCTCAAACTGCCCACCGCCCAGTTTGACCTCTCCCAGCTGACTGCCCTGCACATCATTCGTCCCTGGGAGACAAACCGCCTCCTCCCTCAGGTGCTCCTCTCCTCCGGCCACTTTCACCAGCAGCCCTGGACCTCGCTCACCCGACTGACGCTCTACTCTGACGGTAACTTCTCTCAGCTGATTCGCGACTACTACGACCACCTTCGGCCGCTCTTCATCCGGCTCACCCNTTTTCACCAGCAGCCCTGGAGCGCGCTCACCCGACTGACGCTCTACTCTGACGGTAACTTCTCGCAGCTGATTCGCGACTACTACGACCACCTTCGGCCGCTCTTCATCCGGCTCACCCACCTGCGACTGAACTTCACCAGCCGAACCTTGCTGTCTCTGATTCGCCAGAACTGCCTCCACCTGACGCACCTGGCGCTGGGCTGTCTGACGCTGCCCTTCGTGGAGCTGGCACTAGAGCTGGAGCCTCTGCAATTTCAGCTGACCCACCTCGAGCTGACCTTTCCCTACCAGTGCCTGCCGCCCGGCGTCGAGTGGAGTCCGCTGGGTGCGCCGCACAAGGTGCCCCTCTTCATCACCGTCCGCTCGCTGCGGCTGCACTTCTCCACGCTGCTGCACAGTCCACCGCAGGCCGTCTCGCCCATTCTCGGGCACCTCTTTCCGAAGCTGGAGACGCTGACGCTGGAGCGGAATAAGGTGGAGAATCCAACTGGAGGTGGTGGTGGGGGCTGTGAGAAGTGCGCTCGAATGCGCTGCATCACCGCCTTCAGCTGCAAGCACAGTCTGGTGAAGGCGCTAAGGGACGCGGAGATGACTCGAATGAGGCTGATCAGACTGCAGGTGGAGACTGCTGGCTATGATCAGCAGCACCAGTCTGCCGGTGATCACCCGTCCGCCCTGCAGACCTACGAGGTGTACTGCTACAAGAAGCGACTGTGGACGATTGAGAGTACGCACTTTTAGGAAAGGACTGTCTTGTCTAAGCTCTAAATAGAAAGCTCATGATTTCAGCGAAGCTTTCAAGGCAACAGCAGTGTTTAATCAAACACTAATGTGCGCCTGGTCTGACAGCACAGAGAGAAAGAAGAGAATAAATCACCAAAGTATTCCTACACGCGTCGCCTTCACCTTCTCCTCCTCCTCCTCTTTCACTTCTATCCACTTCCATCCTCTCCTTCCCCGCCTGACCTACAATCAATGGTAGTGGTGATGGTGGTGGAAAAGTTTTGCACCTTTTTAGTAAAATGTTGTTATTGTCGTGGTTGTCCCACCACCACCGAGCATAAGTACAGTCGTCCTAAGTGCAGAGCAGTAGTTGTGGTCTTGCCGAGCAGATAGAATGGATGATAGTGACAAGGGTGAAGTGAAACAAAGTGGCAATCCACCAAAGCTGTCTGCTGAGGAGTGACAACATTAAACAGCCGACACCTAAGTGCACACACAGTGTGAGCGGGCGCGAGTAATCGGATAAAAAACGGTTTGATTTTTCCATTTGGGAAGCTGCCTGGTCGGGGAGAGAGAGAGAGAGAGAGAGCTTTACTCCTCCTCTCTATCAGCAGCAGCAGCTGCAAACTCTTTCGTAAACACACACATCGGAAGACAGCACTCACACAGGCATAGAAGAGAGTGGTGTGCCGGTGATGATGATGATGATGGTGGTGGTGGTGGTGGTGGTGGTGGTGATGGTGACTATTTTTTTATTGAATGGAAAATTTTCTGATGAGAGAGAGTGGAAAAGTACTGAGCGGTAGACGGACAACAGACGACGTCGTCGTCGACGTTGTCGTGTGCTCGGGGTGCCGCAGGGGGAACGGAGGAGCAAGTGGAAAGAGAAAAAACAAAATTATTGAGAGAGCGAGTGAAACCATGATGAGATTTGCGCACAGTAGTGTACTACTCTACACTGACAAATGGTCAGATACGGTACACCTCCTCACTGACTCGCTCTCTCACGTAATGCCCATTACCATCATCATCATCATCATCAGTAGCGAAATTAACTAGCTGCCAGCAAGCACACACACACACACACTCCTTGACCCCACCCCCAAATTATACCGCTTGCACGTTTTCCACCATTTTTTGTTTGTTAATATAAAGCCTGGCGCGATTTGGTTGCCTCACTTTTGCTTCTGTTTGCTTGCTGCGCGGCGCGAACACCGATTGTCAGATTTGCCATTGCATCACTGCCAGCTGCTGCTGCTACTGCTGCCAGGTTTGACAGGTGGTCTGTGTGTGTAAAATACCCGCAATAATAGTGCGTAAATGACACCAGCGAACACACCATTTTTGTGAATGAATAAAACAAAGTCTTCCGCTGATGATGATGGAGGTGGCGGCAGTCCCAAGAAGAGGATGGCTACCTCGTCACCCTCATCACCATCGTCACCATCTTCACTACCCTCTCAATCACCCTCTCCGCCATCCTCTCCGCCACTACCACCACCATCACCTCCTTCAGCTCTCCAGAAGAAAGAGGTGACCAGTGAGAAGGAGGTGAAGCGCATTCTGCAAATCTGCAACCAACTGTCCGCCGGTCTGCAGGAGGTGAAGCGGGAAGAGGTGATCATCCGACAGTTCGACAACGTCTTCTCCACGCACATCTTCCACCTGAGCTTTCTCAACCCATCATCCACTACTTCAAACACCTCCTCCTTATCTCCATTACCACCGTCTCTAGTCATCAAGTTCTACGATCTCGTTGTGCACAATCAGCTTCAGCTCTTCTCGGTGGCCACCTCCCACCTGGCGCACTTCGCCATCGGCCAGGCCGGTCTCGGTCCGTCCATCTACCAGATTCGGCCTGATGCGCTGGTGATGTCGTACCTGGAGGGGAGGACGTTGACGTCCAAGGACGACCACAGTGTGGCGCTGCGGGGGAGCATCGCCCGGCGGCTGGCGCACTTTCACGCCCTCGAGGTGCCCATTCCGCGCAATCTCCACCAGGAACGGGTGCAGAACATCTTCAGCAGTCGGTTCGATGAGAAGCTGATCGAGTCGCTGGAGGGCGGCCAGCTGAAGGCTTCACTGGAGGCGGCCGGACTGAGGAACATTCTGGAGAATGATCTCTCCGAGAGTGTGGCCTTTGTTCGCAGTTCCATTCTGAAGGATGACGGCCACCAGATCGTCTTTGGCCACTGTGACTTTAATCACAATAATATCCTCCTTGTCGGTGAGGAGGAGAAGGTCATGTTCATCGACTTTGACTACTCAATGTATTTCTACAGAGGTAATAGTAGTGCCCCAATGGTGACAAATTGCCTTCAACCTTTTTTCTTTGCCCATTTGAACACACAGGAACTGATTTTGGGCGCTACTTTCTCGATTGTACTCAAACTGAACAATTCAGCGACAATGAAATTCTCTCCGACGGCGAAATGCGGCAATTTATTGAATTTTACCGAGAAGAATCGGCGCACATTTATGGCTCCAAGTACCTGGAAAGCAGCGCTCATTCGGTGGAGGCCATTCTCTGGGAAGCGAAGCTGATGGTGCTTTTTGCGTACTTGATTGATATCATTTTTCTACTGAGAATGGCCAGTTTCTGTAGAACAGAGGAGAAGAGGGCCATGTTCTTGGTGAGTTTTTGATTTATTAATGTCCAACGATTGAAGTTACTAAATTCGATCATCTTTTTGTTTCATTGCAGACTCAAGCGGATAAGCGGTATGGGGGCTTTATCAAGACCAAACAAAGGTTTCAAAATGAATACTTGAAAAATGCTAAGAAATAAAAGTTGAATGTTGTTTTTAAGTTTTTGGGTTGGTTTATTGTTTTGTTGGTGATATCAAGCCCATTGCTGCAAATAAATGCTAGATACGAAATAGATCATCACCTTGAGAATGTACATGTTTGCTTTTCAAAAACTGCAAAAGAAGTGGTTAGATTTTCGCTTGAGATCTAAAATCGATATAAAGCTGTAGTTTGATCTGATGATTTATGATTTTGCCGATTTGCCAGCCTCTCGCTTCAGGAAAACGAATATCTTTTCCTTGATCCAGTCTTTAGGGAACGGTGCATACATGTTGCTAACTCTCTGAAACCTGGTGGTAAACACAAAAAATGAAGTCAACATTGACTTACCAAACAGACAATATCTTTTCATTCAACTTACACTAAACAACTCAAGTCGGTCAGTTTGTCAATGTAATCAAAGAGCTGCGAAATATCATAAGTTATGGTAGTCATTCCTGGATTGTCCTCCTTCAGGTGTAGCTCGTACATATGGCAAATGTCTGCAAAGTTGAAAGGAAATTAAAGTTTGAGGTGGATAAAAACCTGGAAACACCGACTTACACTCCAAAGCATCGTTGAGCGACTCAAAGTCCCAGTAAGTTCTGGTCTCAAGTTTACCCGGCTGAAAAAGCACTATTGTGTGTGCCATGATCAACTTGCTCGGGTGTGGCTTTATCCGGTAATCGCTGGACCAAATTTCCAATTCAAATTAATCTTTGAGCGAAACACCGGCTGATGCAAGTTCTGGCAAAACAAAAAGACTCAAACAAAACACTGCCAACCATCGATTGTTTTATCGATTGCTATCGATACTTTTAAAACTAAAATCGCTTGAATCAGAGAATCTTTTGAATGCAAAAACTTGCACAAAAATTATATTTTGAGACATTTATGCTTTTTCCATAATATACAACTATCGGTTAAAGATAATAATAGAATAGGTAACAATGAATTTAAAACAAAAATATATCATAAATATTTTTCCTGTAGAACCAAAGGGAGCACTGTTTGTTGTGAGTATTGTGTTTTGTGTTGTACTGTTACTTAGTTGGGATTATGAGCAAAGTGAAATATTTTGTAATTTAGTAAAGTAAGAAATTTAATAAATCCTATCATCTACAAGGTCTAACTATCTGTGCAGTGGTCGCGTACTAGCTAAAGTGAAGCATTGAACGGTTGAAGGTGTGTGCAGCGCCAGTCATGTCTTCAATGGCTTCCATGGTCGAGTTGAAAACCGTCTCCGAGAGAATGTTAAAATCATTCATAGAGATCTCCTCGTACTCTTTTCCAACTTCGGCGTACGAACGGACAAAGTCGACGATCAGCAAGAAGTTTTGTCCAAGGGCGGCCAGAATCTGCAAATTAAGATAAATGATTGTTTGTGTACATTGCTAGTGATGAATGCACGTACCGAAGCGTAAGTAGTGTAGGTGATCTCAAAGACGTCCAAACAGTAGAAACCTATAGTAGGGCCAGATGTTCGCTGAATGAACATTCGCAACTAGTAAAAGAATTGTTTTAGTTTCAGACAGTTTTTATAAAAAAAGTTTACCTGAATTTGCAGTTCGACAGGATACTTCTCAAAGGACACTCGAATAAGTCGACCATAAGGAGCATGGGCCTAAAAAGAAAACAATGTGATAATGTTTGCCCTATTTTAAAAACGTAGTTTACCATATTTGACATAATCGCCGCTGAGATGCTGGTTCGCGTAATGATGAACGCACAGGTAACGGCAAAGAAGAACATTATCAAGCGAATGTAGGCGTANTATTTTAAAAACGTAGTTTACCATATTTGACATAATCGCCGCTGAGATGCTGGTTCGCGTAATGATGAACGCACAGGTAACGGCAAAGAAGAACATTATCAAGCGAATGTAGGCGTAGTTGGTGGTGAAAAAGGCCTGTCAAAATAGTTCAGAAAAATAACTGTCAAAACTGTTTTGAATGAAACACCAAAATAAGTGCTCACCTGAAACATAGAGAAGCAGATGACCGCAATGAGAAAGAAGTACGTCGCCATCAGATAACGGGACCAAAACTTGTTGTACTCCGATACCTAATTGGATCGTTTGTTAAGTCAATAAAAGTTTTAATACGCTAAATGTATTTAAATGTACCTTCAAACAGAGCTCATTGTGCTCCACCAGGACGTGCTGCAGCAGTGCTACTCGCTCATTCGCCTTCAAACGCTGGTGAATGATGGTCTCGATGTCTCGATTCACCTGAAAAAAATCAACTTAATTTTTATCTTCTTATCTCTTAATCTCCACTACCTTCATGTATCGCTGTCTGAAGTAGTAGCAGATGGAGTTGAAGTAGACGAAGCAGACGTAGCAGTGGGTGGCGGTCATGTACGCCCAGGCAATGCTGACCACCGCCCAGATGACCGTGCAGACGTTGAACCAGGTCCTGCTGCCCTCCTCCGGATAGGAGTCCCAGCGGTGGCGGACGGCGAAGAAGAAGAAGACCACCACCATGAGGAAGATGGCCACGGTGCAGAGGAAGAACCGCCGCCACATGGACAGCGTCCAGTCGTACCAGGCGTGCAGCATCTCCAGACTGAGGCCGTACGACTGAGGGGTGGCCTCGCC